CACACCCACCGCCACTGCCTCCCAAGCTCTCACACCCACCCCCACTGCCACTGCCTCCCACACACCCACTGCCTCGCCACCCACCCTCTCACTCACTCTCTTGTGCAGTGTCATAAACCTTTCTTGTTAATTGTTCTCATTGCCACTTCCCAGATTTTAATTGCCTTGAAGTAGCCTGTGGGCTCGAGTCCCTCAGCACAGCAGAAGTAGGACAGGTCTCCGTGCCTCTGCAGGCTGGGGCGTCGGTGTGTGTCTGAGGCACTCTGGGGCAGTGTGGGAGGGAGGAGCAGCGGAGAGGTCTGTGCGATGTGTCAGGAGTGACCATGCGTCTGTCTGCTTTACCGCTCTGAGGCTCGGGTTTGAGTGCGTGGCTTTCCACACACGTGTGTGTCTGAGCACAGAGGACAGGACACATTCAGGGGCGCAAGACAGTGGGAAGTGTGGCTGCACAGCAGGGTCTTGGCTGCGTCATGTTAATGCAATGCTGCTGCAGAGCTGGAGAGGGCTCGGTCATGGACGACCTGGGGGGCAGGGGCGGGGGGTCGCGGGGACTGTGTGTGTGAGAAATGCAGCCTGAGCTGAGATCCATTGTCTGCACTCTCTCGCTGACAGCAGCCAATCAGGAGAGCTGCCTGCTCTGGGCAGAGTCTGTCCAGCGGTCTGCTGCTTACACCACGATGGCCAGAGCATTTACAGCATACACAGTGTTCAGCCTTCACAATCATAGCAAATCCACTTCATTGGCCTAAGAAGATTGTACATGATTTCCTAAAGCACAGGGGCAGGGGGAACAGGTAGACATGTTGAGAGTGCAGGACTATAGGTATCTGGAAGTACAGAATGCAAAATTATAAAACGTCTGTACATAATCTGAAGTCTAGATAATCACAGCTGCATTATTGAATCAGTTTACAGTGAATTGTATATAGAGACACGGTTGTTTGTGTGGTCTCTCTCATCTTGTGGCAGGCTGTGATTTGAAAGGCTGCTGTTTCAGGTTCCCTGTCTCTCTCCCCTGGGACAGTTCTCAGCCTGGGCTCTGTCTCTTCTCTCTCCTCCAGGACAGCTCTCACCCAGGCCAGGACACTGTCTCTCGCTCTTTGCTTGACTCTTTGCTATCCAGCCCTTATGCACTGGTGCAGGTGGACCACAGGACTTGCTGGACTCATTATGATAACCCTCAGGTCTCGTTCAGAGGTTGTTTAACTTGAGGCCGTAACTCAGCCCAAGCATATCTTTGGCCAGTATTGGCTGTGCTCCAGTGGTCAAGCTCTTGTACTGCTGGGGGGAGGGGAGTTCAGTCCCCAGCTCCCACACCGATACTGTCTGTCGCA